AAAGTGAAATTCCCTAAATCTCCTTTCCCTAATACTTCTAAGTGTACTGAAATCCTTGAATATGTTCATGCTGATGTTTGGGGTCCTGCACCTGTCTCCACACCTGGTGGAAACAGATATTTCTTGTCTGTTGTTGATGATTTTTCAAGAAAAGTGTTTGTTTTCTTACTTGTGCAAAAGTCTGATGTTTTTGATAAGTTCAAATCCTGGAAAACCTTTATTGAAAATCAAACTAACAAGAAACTTAGAACCCTTAGAACTGATAATGGCACTGAATTTTGCAATCATGAATTTGATTCTCTGTGTGCTGAATTTGGCATTAGAAGACATAGGACTGTTGCATATACACCTCAACAGAATGGCATAGCTGAAAGAATGAATAGAACATTAATGGATAGGGTTAGATCCATGTTGCATGCATCTGGTTTGCCAAAAGTTTTTTGGGGTGAAGCTGTCTTAACAGCTGCTTATGTGATTAACAGATCTCCATCAGTGCCTTTGTCTGGAAATTTGCCTGAAACTTTGTGGACTGGGAAACCAGCTGATTTGTCTAATTTGAGAGTTTTTGGATGTTCTGCTTTTGTGCACCATAAAACTGATAAATTAGAACCTAGATCCTTAAAATGTGTTTTTATTGGATATCCTGAAGGGGTAAAAGGTTATAGATGTTGGCTAAAGAATGAACATGGTTTTAAAACTATCATTAGTAGAAATGTTGTTTTCAATGAAAATGAATATCCTTGTTTGCCTGTGCCTTCATTTATTGTTCCCCCCTCTGCTCCAATTGAGGTGGAGAAATCTCCTCTTGAGAGTGAGGAAATTGATATTGTTGATGATGATGATTCATCTTCTGTGCCTGAAAATGTGTTTGATCAAAATGTTGAGTCTGATTTGCCTGATATTGATGATTTGCATGATTATCAGCTTGCTAGGGATAGACCTAGAAGAGAAATTAGGAAACCTCATCATCTTGATAATTTTGAGCTTGCATCTTTTGTGTTCAATGTGTTTGAAGCTTTAGATGGGAATGAACCTAAGTGCTACAAAGATGCTTTAAATTCTCCAGATTCTGCTATGTGGTTATCTGCTATGAAAGAGGAAATTAACTCTCTGCATGTCAATCATACTTGGACTCTTGTCCCAAAACCTGCTAAGTGCTCTTTGATTGAATGCAAATGGCTGTTTAGAGTTAAGCATGAATCTGATTCTGTTAGATATAAAGCTAGGCTTGTAGCTAAAGGTTTTACACAAAGAGAGGGTATAGACTATACTGAAATCTTTGCTCCTGTTGTTAAATTCACCACTGTCAGAATTTTGCTTGCCTTAGTTGCTCATTTTGATTGGGAACTTAAGCAAATGGATGTTAAAACTGCTTTTTTGCATGGTGATATTGATAAGCAAATTTTCATGTCTCAACCCGAAGGTTTTGTTGATTCTGATAAACCTGATTATGTCTGTTTGTTGAAGAAGTCTCTGTATGGCCTTAAACAGTCTCCTAGGCAGTGGAACAAAAAATTTGACTCTTGCATGCTCTCTTTGAAATTTAAAAGAAGTGAATTTGATCCTTGCTTGTATTTCAAAGATGACTGTCAATCTCCTGTGTTCCTATTGATCTATGTTGATGATATGCTTATTGCTAGTCCCTGTTTAAAGGCTATTGATCATGTTAATAAATTCTTAAGTGAAAACTTCGACATGAAATTTCTTGGTGACTCTAAGAGAATTCTGGGAATGGACATAATCAGGAATAGGAAAGATTGTTCTTTGTTTCTGAACCAATCTGCCTATGTTGAAAAGATCTTAGATAAATTTGCCATGAAAAATGCCAAGTCTGTGTCTGTGCCTCTAGCTGCTCATTTCTTGCTAAGTAAGGAACAGTCCCCAAAGACTGAACCTGAAATCTGTGATATGAAATCTGTTCCTTATGCAAATGCAATTGGTTCTATAATGTATTTAATGGTAAGTACTAGGCCTGACATTGCATATGCTGTTAGCTGTTTGAGTAGATATATGGCTAATCCTGGCATGCCTCATTGGGAGGCTGTGAAATGGCTAATGAGATATCTAAGAGGATCTGCTAGAACAGGGATTGAATTTTCTAGGTGTGAAAAAGGAATTGTCTTATGTGGTTATGTAGACTCTAATTATGCTAATAACAGAGATAATAGGAAGTCCACCACATCTTATGTGTTTACTTTGTGTGGTTCTTGTATTTGCTGGAAATCTCAACTTCAAAACATTGTAGCCCTTTCTACCACAGAGGCTGAATACATTGCAACCACAGAGGTTATAAAGGAATCTCTCTGGTTGAAAGGGCTGCTCTCAGAAATTGGCTTCTTGAAAGGTAAAGTTGTTGTTTTCTCTGACAGCCAATCAGGTATACAATTGTGCAAGAACCCTGTCTTTCATGACAGAACAAAACACATTGAGATCAAATACCACTTCATCCGGAAAGTGGTGAAAAAGGGTGAGATAGACCTGGAGAAAATTCCTTCTGAATTCAACCCTGCTGACATGGGCACTAAGTGCCTGCCTGTGGAAAAATTGAGATCATGTTTGAGAATTTTGAACATTGTCTCAAAACATGATTAAAAACAGACATGTGTTTGTCTGCTTGCTTTGTGCAAGTCTGTTGATGCTTTCTATGTGATTGCTTGCTTTATTTGTTTGTCTTAACTTCTATGTGATGTTAAGTGTTGGTTTTATCTTGGTGATTACCTCCTTTGTGGAAAAAATACTGTGTGAATCTTCTACTACAATCTGTGTGATTAGTGTTTAAGATTCACAGTTACGGCAATGATGATCCCAGTCCATTAAGTGTGTGTCATACTGATCCTTTTATTGGTCTCAGGTGGAGAATTGTTAAGTATTGAGCCCACATAAAATGATCTGTTGTGATCTGGGCCCAATAGCTATTTTAATTCAAAGCCCAACTTGGGAAATCGGGCCCAATGTTACTTAAGCCCACTGATCAGTCAAACCTAGATCTTGACCATCGGATAGAGGGCTTCAATCTGAGCCCTCCATTTACCCACTCCTCTTTCTTCTCTCAACCCTAGCAGCTTTGTTCTGCTGCGCCGTTTCTCTCTCTTCCCTTGTCCCCTTCTCTCTCTACAGTGTATCGTCACCCCTTGTCGTTTTCCGGCGACACCTTCGCAGGTCCGGCCGGACAATGGGTGTCCTTACCGTCGCAGCACATTTAATGCTGAAGACCGTTGAAACTCCGTGTATTTATACTGTGGTGAGAGAGAGAGACAAGTGTGATTCACCTTTCATTCAAACCCCTTCATTTCTGGTCTTAATCCTCTTCTGTGAGGGTTTCGGCTTTGTGTGTGCAGAAATCTGGGTTTGTGCTGAGTGGAGAGGGTGAGTTATCACCGAGTTGACTGTGCATGTGTTGGTGAGTCAACTCGGAGTGAGGTTTGGGGTCAGATCTAGGGTTTCGATCAGTGGCAGTGCTTGGTGCTTGTTTTCGGTTGGTGTTACCACCAGACCTTGGATCTACAGTTGAACACTGGAAATAGGGAACTGAGCCGTTCTTCACTTTATACTCTTCCTGTTCCATTTTACCTTCTGTGTTATCTAACTGTTGTTTACAGATCTATGGCTATGTTTGGAAGAACCTGTACCTAACAAATGTATTGAACGAAGAACCTAATGGCTGAGAATCCTAATTCCCATTCACGAGCTCCGATCGACTCCAACCTCGGCAATTTTCGGCATCAGCCTAAATAGGTTTTAAAAATAAAATCACAAAACTGCGTAACTTAATTTTGAGAACATAACGGAATTTTGGCCCTTTTATGCAAAAACCCTAACATTCCATTGAAGTAATGGAGAGAAGAAAACGGGAGTGGTGGAGTTAGAGTGAAGAGGGAAGATGGAGAGAAAAATAAATTAGAAATTATACCTGAATCGATTGAGACTGGCGGAGGCAAAGGGAAACGAACACTGGCGGTGGCGAAGGCAAACGAACACTGGCGGTGCAACGATGGTGGTGGACGCGAAAGCCAGATCGAAGAGCTAGATCAATGGTGATGGCGGTGCAACGATGACGGTGCAATGATGGTGGTGGTGGTGCAACGATGGTCTTCAATTAAAAAGTGAACAAATAAAAAAGGAGAAGGAAAAAAAAAGGGATTTATGAGAGAAGAAAAGAAAGGGATCGGGCATGTCTAGAAATTTTGGAGGAGATTTTTTAGTAATTTATATTATTTTTATGTTGTGACAAAATTACTTTGTCATAAGAAACCTAAATATTTGTCACAAAATAGGAATCGTCATTTTTTTAAAGATCTTGTATGTTCTATGGTGACGATTTTTCATTATTATCACATAAAATAAAGTTTATGTGACGAAATTAACCTTCATCACGTAAAATGTTCACTTATATGACGATGTGATATTTTGTCACAATATCCCCTTTTACTGTGACAAACTTTGGTTTCGTCACAAAAGATTGTCACATAAAATACTTTTTTTTTAGTGTGTGTAGAGATAACAATGAATATAATGCATGCAATTATATTTGGTTTCATAATTGTGGATATATATTATATTGATGCCCAGATCCAGATGGTTAAATAATTCGTCTCTAGCTAGCTAGATTCAAAGAATGAATTATATCTGATTATCTCTTAACAGGTTAATTGCACGCGCGCGGTTGGCTACACGCACGTCCATCCATTTGGCAATTTGTTTTGCATATTGACAGCCTTTTGTTTTCTTTATTATCAATTGCATGGTCCATGCATGTCTCGATTTGACAAGTTGGAGGGTGTAGCCTAAACCCACCCCATAACATCTTTTTCATGGATTGATCAACGTACCTGTTTTTTTTCTTAATTAAAGTATATAGGTATTTATATTTGAAAAGGTGGAAACAATAAATTACATGAAGGAAATTTTAATGAAGAACGTACAATATCACACAACACATATGCATATCTCATCATTCATCAAAAACTCTAGAAAACACACAACATTTTTTTTAATTTGTGTGTGTTTTCTTAGTTCCAAAACAAAAAAAGAAAAAGAAAAAGAAAATCGCATTAACATAATATATATAGATATCGATCAAGCCCATTTAGCCATGAGTGACATCGCACCGGCACCCAAAAGAACGGCTATGTAAGACTTGATTTGGAGTTTAATACTTCCCTGTAATTTTGGCCCCATAAAATCAGCAGCCAATAGATCAACCAAAGCCATGTAGATCAACAACCCTGCAGATGATGCGTTAAGCAATCCAACGGTGATCAATGATCGAGGGTTGTTCTCCTTGTAAGAGCTGGCCAATGCTAATCCCAATGCTATTCCAAATGGAGTTGTCACGCTGAACACTACAAGAAAGTTCACATTTGGCTACAACGAATTTCGTTGTGGAAAGTATATAATTTCGTTGCTAATTCCATTCACAACGAAAATAAGTCGTTGCTAGCTTCGTTGTCTTTTATTTGTTACGGAAAGTTCGGGGCAACGAATAAAAAGTTGTTGCCAATACATTTAGTTTACGCAACGAATTCATGTCGTTGGCAAATATTTTTCGTTGCCTATACATTTAGAATGCACAATGAATATATTTTGTTTGGCAATTATATATCGTTGCCAATGTATTATGTATACACAACGAATTTATTTTCGTCGCCAATAGTATACACAACGAATTTATTTTCGTTGCCAACGAATTTATTTCATTGCAAAACATATGGTCCGGATTTTATCGAAGCCGGACCCACATCCGCCAACCCGACCCACATCCATTGGACCACCGAGCCAAGCCGGACCCGCATCCATTGGACCACCGGCCACTTCGGGATATGAATAGTTGGGTCGAACTCACGACCGGCCCAACGGGCTGATAAATGTTAAATATATGAAAATATGACAATGGTAGGAATTGAACCCTGGTTGATTTGAAGTTAGAGCCCCTTCAAACCGCTGGGGCAACATTATATTCTGCAAATTGGCTGAAAATAAATTTATAAAAACTAAATAGACAAGGTAAAATGTTTAATATAGTTATATAAATAAATAATATGTCAAAAAACTAATTTACAATAAAATTAAATTATATCTCCACTATTAATAAATGTATATATACATAATTTTTAAAACCATATAAACAATTGACTTAACAAAAAATGCATGAGTTACTGCTAGTTAATATAAATAAATAAGATTTTTCTTATCATATTTTATTATATATATAATAATAATAATAATAATAATAATAATAATAATAATAATAATAATAATAATAATAATAATAATAATAATAATAATAATAATAATAATAATAATAATAATAATAATAATAATAATAATAATAATGATAATAATAATAATAATAATAATAATAATAATAATAATAATAATAATAATAATAATAATAATAATAATAAATTAAAATCAAGAAAAATAGTTGGTTTGTAAATTGGCAACGATTATATTTTGTTGCCAAATCACTTGGAACATTTACAAACGATTATATTTTGTTGCCAAATCACTTGGAGCATTTACAACAAAATATTTCGTTGTCTTTTATCACTTACTGGCAACAAAATAAATTTGTTGTCGTTGTATATGTATTTACTACAATTTTATATCGTAGCAAAAAGAAACACTCTTTTGCAACAAATGAAGTTGTTGTCTTACATTAAATTCGTTGCGAAATATATATGATACTATTCACAACAATAGTTTTCGTTGCCTATGAGATTCAAAGGCAACAAAAATTTCTTCTTACAAAAAGGTTATTCTTTAGCCACAAATACTATATTTCGTTGCTAAAATATAATTATTGGCAACGAAATTAATTTCGTCCACAAAGAAATCGTTGCTTATTTTACATTTTCTTGTAGTGGAAGAAGAATGCCATTGCTGCCTTCTTTATGAACTTATACTCTGCCTGGAGAATGCAACCACCAAGTCCCATTCCTTCAAACATTTGATGGAAGCATAGTGCAACGATAAGTCCTTTAATCGAGCATGTGTTGTTAGAGGCACCGAGGGACAACCCAATCACTATTGAGTGTACTATGATTCCCAGCTCCAAAACCTGCAGCGGTACTAATTAAATTAATGCATAGTATAGTACTCCTCATCAATTAATCAATTAATCAATAGGGTGAAAAAATATGTATACCACTCCAAACAAAAATATTAATCGATTATTAGTAGAGACATATACTAACCATGGCAATAACTCGGTAACGGAGAAGTTGGGCACCCTGGACTTCCAACTTGGCTCCGTGGTGGTGGCCGTGGAAATGAGAATGACCACCACCACCAGCTTCCACCACCGCCAGCTCCTCGGGTTTCCTGCTGGAATCGGGCTTCACAACTCCAGAATTGTGTTTCTTAGAGTAGAGGCTTGTGGCCATAGAGTCGATCATGAGAGTCACAATTGCTGAGAGCATAGCCACGAATCCGGTGAAGGGGAATTTGTGCCACGGGTTTTCTTTTAAACATGGGGATGACAGCATCTCCATAGAATCCGGCAACACGTGCATGAATCCGGTGGCCAAAATAATACCGGAGGCAAAAGCTTTAACGATGACAAAGAGATTCCGGTCAGGGCTGAGAGCCGGAATTGACTTGGTGAAAAGTGGCAAACAGACACCGATTATGCTGCTGATTAGGATTGTTACGATGGCGATTATTTTGAGAGGTAAAGCCTTCATCTTGTTTGTGCAGCCGTCATCTTCTTCTGCACCGCAATCCTCAACCTCAGACGACAGGACTTGAACGGATAAATTAGAAATGAGGATGAAGAAGATGATTAATACTGATTTAGAACAAGTCATCGTGAAATCTGAATTATTCTGATGAATATGAATATGAATATGAATAATAAGATCAGTAGAAATAATAATTATTTTGTTTTGGGTTGTGACTTGTGAGTATTTCAGCTGAGTCGACCACGGCCAAATTTATAGGAATATGAATTAATTAAGAAGACAATTAATAAATTTGAAGTGCGAGAATGGCATGGAAGGGACCTTGACGATGATATATAATAATCAGAGATTAGTATATAATATAATAATTAATTTTAATAAAAACAAAAATATATTAATGGGGTTTTTATGCAAATACTCAAAATGTAGAATAGTTGTTATGAATTAGATAATTGATACTCCATACAATGTTAATGCTACTGATTTACGGTCAACTAATGAATTTTGAGGAGCAAACAAATCCTAAAAAGTCTTTTATAGTAGGCAGGTGGGTGGGGAAATTGACATTCCATTCCATTCATTTTGACTCTTCTAAGTTCTAACCTGCATTGCACGGCTTTCTTTATTGAATTCAAATATTAAATACAAATGGGGCCAAGGCCCAACCGTAAGTTCGTGAAATGACATAAAGCCCCAGCCCGCTAACAAAATTTACCTTTTTATCCTTTTCAGCAAATTTAGAGATTATGAATGATGAGAAGAAACTTGTGCTAAATGTTGAACTCCTCCTCAGACAAGCAACTCTTATTATTAGCTAGCTGTTACTGTTACTAACATCTAACACCTAATTCCAACTATCAATAATATATTTCTTCATTTACAGCTTATTATCAATGCTACTAACACTCTGTACATGGTAAATGATCATCAAACAGTATCCCACCAAATCAACCGTGGTGTGCCTTTCGATTCCGAATCCCTTGTAAATAGTAAGCATAAGATGGCCATCTCACCTTTCTCCAAATCAAATCATACTAATCATTCTTCGAGAGTAAACATCTTCTTAAAATTTTCCCACACCTCTGGACCTTCCGGATGTATATTCACAAAATATTTCACAAATCGTACATCCGAAGAAGCAACAAGTGTGCTCACTGACAACATAGGTTTAGCAGCACCTTTCTCCCTAAGCCATGCGTACATTGATAATCTTGCACTAATTCTCTCCATATCATAACAAAGATACGTTGGAAACGACACTATAGACTCCACAGGGTATCCCAAGTAATTTCTCAAGCACTCGATTTTCCTCTCAAGAATATCTTTCGTCTGATTTAAAACTGTCGGAGCCTGTTTCACCATACTCGATACTTCATTGAAATCCAAACCAGCCCCCACCAAACAATCAAACCTCTCCTGCAATTGATCTCCTCTCCCTCGGAACCGTTTCAGTGCTTTCACCATATCTTCTGAATTCTCTACATAACCAATTCTCATTAAAAAATCAATCTTTTCCACAAAATTGTTTGGATTCCTTGCAGCCACATACTCCGCGTTACAACTCTTCAACTTAAAAGCCAAGTTAAAAAATGCAGACGGATCCTTTTTTATAGTCTCGCACAAACTATGCTTATCGCCACTGAATTTCCTCAACACAGTCTTCGGTCCTTTCAGAGAGTGTGAGCCCAAAATTTCAATGTGGCTAGACAGAATCTGGGCTATATTTTCGGTTTCCATACCTATCTCGAATAGAAAATGCAATGCTTTCCAAAAGTTCTTTGCGGACTTAGGCGATAGAATCTGTGGGTTCTTCAATACCAAACCATAAACCTCGTACATTTTAAGACCCAACTTCAGCAAAGCACCAACCACTACATACACTTGTTTCCCAGATCCTTCAAACAATAATGCGGTATCTTTCCTCAACAAAGCCCCCATCTCTTCATCACTATAACCTACTTCCTCAAGAAAACACAATGTATCTAGTATTCTATTCCAATTGTACGTGTTTTTGCTAGATATATACCCTCCAATCCAGTGGCTACTAAACCCCAGTGCTTTTAATTTTTCAAGAATCCCTACAAAGGCGTTGTTTATTTCGCCCTCCAAAAGCAGAGGACTGCAAGTTACAAGCTTTATAACGGTCGATCTACCCAAACCTAATCGTTCGTAGGCCATCAATTTCATATTCAAAACCCCAACTCCATACTTGAAGATTTCATTCACTTCCTTGTACATTCTTCCTATCTTACTCCGAGGTACACCGTAATCACTAAGCGTATGATAGTTATCGAGTAAGACTTGATCATCATGCAAAAATATCAGCCCTCGTGGAAGAAGGGATGCAAATTCGTGTGGTTTCAATCCCAAACTTTCCAAAAATGGCTCAAACTCATTGATGGGATGGTACCTGAAGAACTTTGTCAATGCTCTAGATATGTCTTGGTCTTTTTCAACCTTTGAAATAAGATAACCAAGAAAGCAAGGTGAGTTCTTGCTTATGTGCTCGGAATCGAGGAAGCTCAATCCTCTGGTGCAATGCAGATAATCGAAAAGCGCAGCTTGCGCATCAGTTTTGGCAACGCGCGGAGTTCCGTCGACGGAGTTGGTAATTGACAGATGAGCTGAGGATTTAGGGATGAAAAGATTGGGATTTTTGATCGGAGATCCCAAACAATGGAAGAATCGAGTGTTGGAGAATATATGAAATGGAGGGGTGTGAGAAATGGTGGAATTCTTGTCAGTAGTAACACATCGGTACAAGAAGATGTTGTTGAGCTGCAAAATCATTTTTGAACATTTACTACTACTTATTATTCGAATCAACATAGATAAATCTGGAGACCAGCTCAATAAACCCAAAATCGAAAACGAAGAAAATCTGAATCACAAGTGAAGGTAAAAATCAAAAATAACATTTTTGTGTTTCTTTAATTTCTGAAAACGTGATAGATTTGGGGTTTAGGGTTTTTGGAGTTAAAGACCCCCTAACTAAACAGTTGAATTTCTGTGGGCCCAATATAATATATTTGGTTTATATAGGCCCAACATCAAAATTAGACCATTATGGTTAAGTAAGCCCAATCAATGTATTTCCAGTTTGTCTCTGCTTTCAAATTCTTCTAACTACTACATAAATAATTCAACAATTCAAATATATATTGTTTCATACTTGTTTAATCCTAATTAAAGAAGCAGATCATGCACACACCTGAAACTTAATACATATACTAATTAGGTAAAGTAGAAGAATTACTTCATTTCAAGTTATAATCACAAAACACAGAAAAATGAAAGATAATAAAAATTACATCCAAATTGATAAAGCCACACACACACGTACTCCTCCGATCCAGGCTGGAGGTAATTTATAAGAGCAAAATATATATATAATTAAAGTGCAGGGAAATTAGCACAATCAGCAACCTGAAATCCAATCCTCTCCTTGTCCAAATCATACACAACTTCAACATTCTGCTGCTGGAAGCTTCCGAAAACCCCAGCTGGACCGTAGTACCTATCATCATCATCATCCATACTCTGAAAAAGCAAACACTTGGCCACACTATAGTTACTCGGTGCTCCCATTGCATAGAAACAATTCCCCTGTGGCAATGTAATACTCACATTATTCAAGAAATGGGAAACTGATTAAAGGAAGTTCATCACCATCACCTAAAATATTATTGCTCTTGCATGGGATTCTATAACAAAGATCAAATCCCGACCGTTCCTCCACTTCTGTAGCCCGAGGGTAATTTATTACCGACTCGAGTATCGAGAGAAGCTGTGAGTAAAACGGCTCTGGTAGATGAGTGTAAGTTGTACCAGAGTCTATAATCATGCCACCATTGCCAAATGAATCGAACTCTCTCAAAGTTACTTGTGGTGCAGTACTGACATTTCCTACAGTTACTGCCTCTAGACCAATGTAGTAGTAATTTGGGTACATAATTGGACTTTTCAACATTGGGGTGAACTGCATGTACTCTTTAGAGGATATTGGTAGGTCACCCACAACTAAAGGGCTTGAAATATTAGGGTTGTTTGCATATTTGAAAGGCAAGAAGCAATGGGAGAAACCCTTGTGCACAAACCCTAATTGAGAGGGGAGTGATAGAGGGCCTTTTCCGAACCCCGCAATCCCTATAGGTTCTCTATATGTTGAACCAACACAGCCAAAACAGAATCTTGGAATATCCCTACTTATAGAATTAGTAGTTGCATGGACTCGAAGAGTATCCCTAGTGAGAGTTCCGGCCACAACTTCTTCACCATAAGTGTAAGCAAATGGAGGGCATGGCCTATAACACGTGGATCGAAGTAGGGTGGTCAAAGAGCAACCTGCAATAGTGCAAGTATCGAAGGAGTTATCGGAGCTGTGTATGTCACTGCAAAAGGGACTCGAACAAGAATCCCTTAGAGAAGAAGAGGAATGGGAAGGAGAGAAATTAATACTAGCGGTTAGCAGCCTGTTGTTTTTATAGTCGTTGCAATCTATGCAATCGAAGGATAGGTTACCACAGGGGACCCACGTAAGGTCACTTCCAGTGTCTAGAGACTTGGATGATTTGTGGGGGTGTCCCTAAATTGAGGGATATGATGTAACCATCTCTAACTTCTTTGAGTGGCTCTGTCATATGATCGGCGGCGGCATCGGACAGTACATAATTTGATGATCTTTTTGAGGTGGTTTTCGGGGTGGGGATTGTTGTTGTTGTAGTACTGGAGTAAGTTAAGGGCAAGACAAGAGAAGATGAGTGATGATGATCGTGAGTATATAATATTTGTGTTGCATGGACGAACTTATCAAAGATAATTATGGTGGTAGCAACTAGAAGAAACAAAGCTCATGTGAAAGCTGGTTGTACTGCACAAGGACATGATGACTTTGATTTTGCAATTAAGTATATGAAATATGAAGATATATATGTTTCAACACACAACTGAATGAATGTACTTATAGAACATGCATGCTAATTAATATAATGGTTGATGAAATTAAAGAAAAAGTTTTATTAATTGGTGATCGAAGAATTATATTAGGGCTCCAGAACAGTTACAGATGTTGAAATGATATATGACCATTATATTTAATTAATAATAATCCAAAAGAGTAAACTATTAGATATATAATAGACATCATTTAATATTTAATTAACACCGATAATGCATGTATAAAATATATATATATCAGATAATGCATGTATAAATATATATCAGCATGTGATGGGTCCCATTTTGGCAAGCTTGGGCTGGGCCCAAGGAAGTGGGCTAGAAGAGGAAACACGAGCCGAACCGGAGGAGTTTTGTACGAATTGGTGGCCCAAATTAGGCCTTAGCTCGTATGGCAAGGCGCAAATTGCATGGAAAGACTCGAAGACGAAGGAAAGAAGATATCTTATACAAGGAAAGGAGATAAAATCGGAGAAGTTAAAATAATTGGCTGATTACACGCCTCTTGTTTATAGGAAAATATCTAATATTAACTAACCTATATAAACACATGTAAAAACCCTCATTAGGGTTATGTTTTCAAGACATCAATAATATATTTCTTTACTTTTTCTCTAAAAACTTTATTTTATGTTTTACATATCTAGCCACCGCTGTCTTATCCGGCTAGTGGTGAATTCTTCGGCAACGCTCAAAGTAGGGTTTCGAAGAAGGTCTTGAGGGTGCGAAATTCGAGTACCATCAAGTGGCGCCGTCTGTGGGAACTTCGAATCGAGCTCAGACGTTGAGGGTCATCAATAAACGGGGAAAATTCTTATGTAGCAATTCTCGTATGTTCCTATTCATGAGTTTATGAAATTTAATCACATGTTTATATGGATGTTCAAGAAATATACTCTTAATATGATTTGATCTGATATGATTTTATTCTAATAATGCGTCTGTTATAGGATTCTTGATTTCCAAAATTCTCGTATGATTTCTTTTCCATGAATTGTGCTATGTTTTAGGGTAATGATCATCTTCCAGTTTATATGAAAATTTCATAATTGCCTAATGTTGTTCGCTTTTAAAATTGGTTTTATATTGCAAGCATGTTGTACATTAATATGCTCTTGATTGGCGAGATCGGCGAACACACGTGGTGCTGAGTATTTGAGTAACGGAATTTAATCTTTTATATTTTATGTGGAAGCCAATTCATATTTTTGGTATGCTGTGGATATACATGGTATATAGTCCCACTAATAGCAAAAAGATTTGATTTGTATTACATGTTTTGACTGTTTGCGCAGACATGTGGTTGTACTCTTAAGTTAACTTTAATTATAACATGTTGGTTTGTAATGAAATCTAGGAGGATATGATTTGAATATTTAATTCAATAACAAGAATACTTGATTTTAACTCCTCGAGCATTTTTGTAGATTGTGCTAATCCCGCAGGTGTGATAGTTTACCCCGACATATGAACTAATAGTTTCAAATAAAACTCGAGAGAACATCAGCTCGCATATCATCTCCTAGCCTAGTTGTTCGTGGAACTCGCATAAAATCCTCAGATCGCCATTCTATTAAGCTCCCAACGCCTAACCAAGCTCGGAGTTTATGGGCAGGCTTATTTATCCTTCGAGATTGTCATAACAATCCGCTTCACTATCTTGAGCTCGATATTAAGCAGGTCGTTGTTATTATAATTATTTTAACTAATCTTTATTTTGCAGTTCGTCTACCAATAGATCTAGAGTTCGGTGTTAATAAGCTCGTTTTTATGAGAATATCTCAGTTAACATTTCTTTGCAGCTCGTATATTTCTTAAAGCTCAATATTGATGAGTTTATTATTATAAGAGTTATTTGAGCCAATCTTTCTTTGCAGCTCGCCTATCTCTCAAAGATCGACGTTAACGAAACTCATTCCTTTATAGCATCAATCAAATTAATCACACAATTTGAGTCTCCAGTGAACCACTTCGTTTAGATCACTAGAGACTAGGGGAGAGTAGATCATGATGGGAGCCAATTTGACATTTTATTGGGCTCGTGTAAATCTTTGGGCTTGAAGCCCATTGGTGAACCATGATCTAACTTTATCATGTTTAATGGATCAAAATTAGCTCAAAGCCTAAAAGGTAGGTATGACTTATAAATATTTCCACCTTCTCCTCTCTAAAAGGTACGCTTTATTACACACATTACACACTCCAACACACACTAAATCACACGATCCAAATCACAGATCTCACATCGTCTTCTTCTTTATTTCGTTTACCTATCATTTTCCTCTTTCCTGAACTATTTTACCAATTAACTTGAGCGTCAGAGGGTCTCCCCGGGGCTCAAGCCCCATGATTTCAGTAACCCTCGCATTAATAGGGCAAGTATGCTTCAATTTGACTTCGTCTGAGGTCGCGTTTGAGTTTGGTAACCCTCGTTTATTTAAGGATACTCGCATTTGTCTTTTTAAAACTACAATAAAT